AATAATATTATACGTAAATTCAAAAAAGAAAATTTTCTTTCTTTTATAACCACACATTCTTCAAAAAATTATCATTCCGCTCATTATAACGTGAAATAATAGAGGCCAAACTAGCGCTTAATTTAGAGATTCTAACTCACATAGATCTCTGAAACTTGAAGACAATAATCGAGAAGTTTAGAATAAAGATAACAATTGGAATAACTTGCTCCCACCCATTTTATTAGCAAGATTCGAGCGGATAACTGTCCCTACCTCTTAGCCTCTATAATCGAAAAACACACGTAGCTCTCTACCCACCGTGTAACCTTGATTCCTCTACTCTTCTTCTAGTTCTACCATTACTAATCATGGTTCCCGTTCAAGTGCACTTGAGCTAGGGACCTTCAACCCTGAACATTGATAGACGCAAATATGGACAAAAACTACAAGATTAGGTTACTTGGGTCATTTTTTTTCAATTTGGTAGCAACTAAAATATCTTCAATCGACTCTTTAAACATTAGATACCCTTAAAATGATATTCCAAAGGACTTTTTAAATTAATATTTTAATGTAGAGAGTGGATTTGGCTCTCCAAAACTCATTCTTTATGATTAAATGCATTTAAATTAATTCAATTTTGAATATAAGAAAATAATATAATAATCTAGAAAAAGTTAGTTAAAATAAAAGATACAAAAAAATAATAAATATTTTTTTAGAGTAATAAAATTAAGTGTTAAATATAAAGAGCCCGTTGGAGTACTTCAATATTTTTATTTCCTAAATTTAATGATATTTTCTAAATAATAGAATATCATCTTTAAAAATAGAGAATCTTTAAGAGATACTCTAAAAACATATTTTAGTAAATATTTTTCAATTATATTATGTAAAAACAATAAACAATATTTTAACTTCTTCTTCTTCTTTTTTCCCATTTATGGTTATGCATAATTTTATCTTTCAAAGCCCACCAAATATGACATTATATATATAGGATTACGATAATTTTTTTGAAATAAGTGTTCTTAATTATTCATCGTTGTCGCTATCACCATACTTATCAACATGATCCATTATTAGAAAAGACTAATAAATTGTTCTTGATAAATTAAAACTAATCTCCAGCCCATAGTAGGCAGGAAATATGTTGTCAACCTCTGATGTGACAATGTGTGGTGTTTGTTTTTGTAACATTGCTAAGATAGTTGACAGAAACACAACTCTTTCAAGTTGTGCACTTGTGCAGTTAATTTTCAGCTCTAGTCCTGCAAGTTGGTTAGAAAACTCATTGTCTGAAAGGCCCTAGGGACATGAAATATTGTCGGCCTCAAAGGGAAAAATTGTACAATTTTTTAACTTTTCAAAATTTCAGATAAGTGAATGACAGAGAAATAGAATCCATCAAACAAGTTGGTACTTACAAGAGTTATTGCTTTCCTACACATCAATAGACTTTGTCCATGTTTGATCTTCATTCTTTAAAATTTACTCTTTTTACAAATTCATTTCTAGCCACATTTTCTTCAAAAATATTGATTTTTTACAAAATTTATTACAAAAAACGCAGCTGGAGCATTGCAACTTGTTGGTACTTACAAGAGTACATTTGATCAGCTTTGTCATCTTCAGATGAAAAAGATTGGCATGCGATCAAAATGAATAGAGTTTAAGCTCGATGGGATAAATCCCATTTAGAAAGGTTATTAAATAAACAATCAACGAAACCTTAAAATTTAATAATATCTAGGCACAAAGAGTGGTTATTAAAGGAAATTTAAATAAATACACATTTCTTCCTTTAGGTGTGTGGTGGTTCGAAATGACATCAAAACAAATAAGATAAAATCTTGTAATCGAGTACTGTGCAAGAATGTATAATTGAAAAAATGTATCCATAATGCATGTCAAAATCAAATAAATGTGACCCCTCTATATCACAATCTCGGCCTCCATCACGTGTATTTGTTCTTCTTTTTATTTCCTTTTCTAAATTAAGGGATTTCTAGAAATCTAGAATTAAATTATATTCATGTAAAATGAATCTTGAACATTATAAATCCACACATCATCAAGTGAATAATAAAAAAATAAATTTCCAAGAGTGTGATGGTTTGGGCCGTTCTTCCTTAACTTTTGGGCTTTTATGTAAATAATTTTGGGCTTATTTGAGTGGGCAACCTTTTTCTCCTAAATTAACGGACATACCTCTAAGGCCCAACTCACATTGGCGGTCATTTCTTACCCAAAAATGTTCGAATTAATTACACGGAATTTTTTGGCAATTTAGTCATTTTTAGGATGACTGGTCTAATCTAAATGATTGAGCAGTAATTGTAAATTTTATAGAGTAATGCTATTCGTAGTCGCTCACTACGGCAGTCGCCCTACGTGCATACACATGGCAGGTGATTATTTGATACATTAATGTGGTAGTTTTCTTATTCATTAATGCATCAAATAACCACATGTCATGTGTATGCCACATAGGGCGACTGCTGTAGTGAACGACTGCAAATAGCATTATTCAATTTTATAAGATTCTACAGGACTAATTAATAATATAAAATTCTTTCTTCAACTTCCAAATGTATTTAATTGAATAAAATATATAATTAGCTCTCAAAAAATAGGTTGCAAGTCGCTTAGTCCATGGATTGGCCCGAACTAAGTACCCTTCTAAGCTTCGTTCAGACAAGTTTGAATTGACTTACCCAATTTGATATCTCTAGTCGAGACTTTTCAATAAGCTCAAAATATGATATCGTCTTTTTTCTTATAGATTTTGAAAAGTATCTTTTATTCTTTAAATAGATTTCGATTATGGAAAATTTTGTCTATTAAGAATAGAGAAAGACTATATTGGAAGATGGTTCAAACAACATGGGGATTTACGCAAAATCTTTAGGTTGCCTTTTTAAAGTACAACCATAAATGAAAAAAAAATAAAAATGAATTACATAGTATAACCATAAATGTAAAAAAATGAACGTCAATAGAATTATATATTCTATTTGATGAAAAATAATAGCAGTCGTTGACTCGTGCAGAATTATAGATAACAATATCATCAGTGACCATAGAGCACATCCTGAAGGACCTTAACTAATACTACAACAATGTGTCATTTATATCATCAACAATCACTAATAGTACTTTGATCATTAATGACCGATAAAGAGATTCTCTTTTTTATTAAATATTTCATCAATAATTTAAAATATCCTTTTGTTTTCTCTGTTTAATATGACAATTATAATTTTATTCCCAACAATTTTTTCTTATTAATATTAAAGTTAATGTTTTAATTATATTATTGAATGATGAAATCTAGATCATCAAATTAAAATACACACACATATATATTGCAAAATTGACAATGATTCAAAAAACTCTACTGTTAATATTAGGGTAACAGTCTACATCTAGCCTTATATTCATCCGACTCTGACAATATTATGTCTTTTTTTGAGTCTCATTTTATCAAAAAATTTATTTTCAATAACATATTTTTCAATAAAATAATTAATATCTTTAATAAAAAATTCTTATTTTTAACCACAAATTTTTAAAAAGTATATTATTTTAAAATATATGTTTTTCCTCAAAATGAGACACAAACAAGAGCTATATATCAGACTCATCATAGAGTCCAGATTAGAGGTGATTTATTTACGCCACTGTAAGCAATTTCTATATTAATTAATAATATTTCTGTCTTTTAGAAAACATAAGGATAAAGCCTTGCGTACAGAATGTTTTGTCAGGGCTTTTACAGGTGATTTTTAAAAAATGACTCACATGTGCGGTCAATAAACAAATAAGAAACAACCGACAGTGGAGGGAAATGAGTTGCGCTCCACCTTAGTTCCCCCCCCCCCCCCCCAAAAATAACTAATTATCGCCTCTAGATCAAGTGTTCTAAATTTATGTATGTGTAGTTTTCCTTGGGCAATATTACAATTTCCAAAATACATACAAGCCCAATCTTGTACTTGTCTTCCTTACGCACTTTGCGACTTTCAATAGCTTCCTTCAAATTGTACACCATTATGCCTTTCTTACACTTTTTAAAATGTTTCTTTACCAATCTATCATTAGTCACAATCTGGGGCTCCAACGAAGGCTCTTCACAAGCTCTCAACCCCATTATTAATGAGAACTCGTATAATGAAAATCATGTTGGCTTACCGCCAATTGAAAATCAAATCTCATTTTGTTTTTTGGTTACAATCACCCCCAAAATAGCAAGCTAAGTATCCCTGTTCGTCAAGCGTGAAATCCGGCAAAACGCAAGCTCAGTATCCCCTTTCTTTCGTCGAAGCTTGAAATCCGGCCAGCCTGCTCAACCAACCATCTTCTCCACCTACCGTTGCCCGACCAGCCATCTTCTCCACCTCCAGCGTCAATCGACCAGCTATCTTGCACCCATGTCGTAGAATAAAAGAAGTGTCCAAATGCGAACGTTGCCGGAATATCCAAGATGCGACTAGTTGGTTAGTGCAGTAAGCTCAATCTTTATTACAAATACTAATGGCTTCTTTGCCCATTTTCAATACTCATGGCTCACGTAGAAAAAACACCTTGAATATTATAAATCCTAAAGCTAGAAGGTAGACGAAGAAACTAATCACAAAATGAGATTACTAAGTCTAAGTGATTGATGTTTTCAACTTAGAAACCAAGTGTAACGTGAAGAATAATAACCAATTGAATTGCTTTTATTATGCTGAAATGTGCAAGGCCCAACCTCTTTCTTTGGCTGCAGTAATCTCTATCCATGTGTTTGTTATTTTCCCATTTTCATATGAAGGTATTATCAATGTTGTCGTGTAGTATGGGTAATATGATTAAATGTTGTGATTGTTTTGCTCTGAATCTGTCATTACAGAGCAAATTTGTGTAGTTTGTTAATATATATATAGAAACATGAATTTATTTTTGATGTGTCTATGGTAGTGTAATTGACTTATCTAAAATAACGTTACCAATTATTTCATCGCATGTGGTCTATTATGGAAGACGTGCATAGTAATTTTGTTGCTGACTCTGAAAATGAGAATGTTGTTCAAAATACTAATATAGTGGAAGAAGAAGGGTTAGGAGATGAGGGCTCGATTGTGCCTGAGGTGGGTATGCAATTCACAGATGAAAAAGCAATGTTTGAGTTCTATAAAAGATATGCATATGACATAGGTTTTCCAGTTCGGAAGAGGAATTCGAAAAGAGGAGAGGATGGAGTTCTAAGATATGTGACCTTTACATGTAGTCGTGAAGGTCGAAGAAGCACTAATGTTGTTGGTTCATTGAAGCCTCAACCAACAATTCAGACGGATTGTAAAGCTAGAATCTCTGCTTCTTCGGATGATAATGGAACTTGGAGGATCAACACAGTCCACCTCTAGCAAAATCATACAACAAGCCCTTCAAAGTCCAGGTTTTACTGTTGCAATCGAAAATTGCCAGCACATATGAAAAGAAAGCTTGAAGTTAATGATATGGTCGAGATTCTGCTGCATAAAAGTTTCAATTGCGCAGTCGTTGAAGCTGATGGATATGAGAATTTGCCTTGTGTGAAAAAGAATTGTCGAAATTATATTGAGCAAGTGAGACAATTACGACTCGGAGAGGGTGATACAGCCACAATACAATCTTACTTTTCGAAAATGCAAGCACGATGTCCCGAATTTTACTTCAGTATCGATTTAGATGATGAGTCGCGACTGAAGAACGTATTTTGGGCTGATAATAGATGCATGCAAGCATGCAAGGACTTCGGTGATGTTGTCACCTTTGACACCACCTACCTTACCAATAAATACGACATGTCTTTCGCTCCTTTTGTTGGAGTTAACTATCACGGTCAATCAACACTGCTGGGTTGTGGTCTATTATCAAACGAGGACAAATATACATTTTTTGGTTATTCAATACATAGCTTGAGTGCATGTAGGGTCAAGTCCCCCATGGAATTTATTACAGACCAAGACAGGGCTATGCAAAATGCAATTAAAATTATTTTTCCGACCACCAAACATAGACGGTGTTTATGGCACATTTTGAAGAAATTGTCGGAGAAGTTTGGGTATCATGTTGATAAGGAAAACATATTTTCGGCTATACATAGATTGGTGTATGATTCACAGACTGATGAAGAATTTGAAGAAGGTTGGACATTGATGGTTGACTTATACGAGTTTGCATGAAAATGATTGGTTGGCTGGACTTTATAATAAAGAAGTCTTTGGGTTCCATGTTTTTTTGAAAAACACTTTCTGGGCTGATATGTCCACGACTCAGCGAAGTGAAAGTATGAATGCCATCTTCAATGGATATGTACGTTTGAAGACCTCGCTTAAGCAGTTTGTTGAACAATATGAACGAGCACTGAGAAGCAAGGTTGAGAAGGAGTACTATGCAGATTTCAAGTCATACTCGCAGATGGTACCATGTGCAACAAATTATGAAATGGAAAAGCAATTTCAGTTGGTGTACACAATTTCGAAGTTTCGAGAAGTGCAAGATGAGTTCACAGGGAAGATATATTGCGATCTCATAGCTGCTTCAGATGGGAGCTCAGGGATAAGGTACGAAGTTCTAGAGGACGTGTTTTATGACCACCAAAAGAAGAAGAAAAAAGTTCTTCGTCTCTTTTCGGAGGGATAGTTGTGAAATAATTTGCAGCTGCCATTTGTTTGAGTTTTGAGGGATAAATATGCAGGCATGCAATCACAGTCTTAATCCGTAACGACGTGAGATCAATACCCGAGAGATATATACTACGAAGGTGGAGAAGAGATACTAGTAGACCACACACAAGAGTGGTAGTGAACCACGATGGCTTGGTTAGTACTCCGACACAGTTGAGATACGACAAAATGTGTCAAGCTTTTTCGCAGGTGGCAGATCTCACTGCAGATGATGAGGGCGGTCACGTGTAATAATGAACTGGATAAAATGTCAATATAGAGAGCTTGCGCTTAGCAAGTTGAGTAGCGAAAGTAATGTTGGGTCGCTGACTGCTTTTAACTTATCCTCTCAGTGCACGGATTCTCAGCCCATTGATTGCGATAATGCAAGGGATCCTATATTGGTGAAAAGAAAGGGTGCACCAAAAAAGCTTCATGCGAAAGGCCCATTGGAGTCGAGGTTGAAGAAAATAAAGGTACTTTTGTTTGTTAACCTCGCCATTGAAATGGAGTCCAATTTCAAATTCTCATGTATGTTTGATATAAATGCAGGGAAGTTCGACTTCAAGCAAGGAAAACACATCGAGGTAACGCATACTAACATCCCGGTGGTACCATCCCAACTTGAAGAACCATCACAACTTAGCTATTCCGTACCGCCCACATTCTCATATTCACAAATGTTGTTGGTTAGTATTTTCAATTTTCCGTTATGATGGATGTTTATGTTATATTTATATTATGATTATATGTAGGGTGATGCCGAAAATCTTATATTCATCCAAGAATATCCGCTTTCCAACTTTATGTCTCCATCGCCGCATGATAGTAGTACTAATTCATGAGGTAAATAATTGTCGAAATTGTTACAATTCGTTATCTTTTTATTTTGTTGTGTTGTATTAATGTTCGTTATATATGGAAGATCATGGAATGTCGTACTACTATCCAGATTTACCAGAAGATGGTGGCAGGGGCTTATGAAAAGGTTAAGTTTCCACCTTTGAATTGCCATAAAGAAATTTGTTAATTTGATAAGAAATTTAGAAAAGTTTCCCAATTTGTGACAGGCCATGTTTTGGTGGATCCCATTGTTTGTTCAATCCGACTTGGCCTTTCTTCTGCATGAAAGCATGAAGTTTGTGGATGCCCTTTTTGTTCAAAAATGCTTGCCTAGTTCGGTGTCTCCATGCCAGATGTTGAATTCACTTGCTGGTTAAGGTGGAGACGTTGTTGAAGCAGCTTCTAATGTTTATGGACATGAAATTGAATTCCATAAACAGGCCCCAGCTAATAAAATCTGTCTCCAGCACTTTCTAAGCAAATGCAGAACATGAGCCTGCTTTGCCCTTTGAATCACTTCCTGTTAAGTATGAGTAGTGATGCAGATGTTTCTTGCACTCGGAGCTATATATCATCTAGCCATTGGAATTTAAAGAAGAGCAGAAATAGGCAAGTTTTACTGGAATCGGATAAGTGATTTATGTTTTGATCTAGGGCTATGAATCTTTATTCAAAATTTGTACATCACAAACTTTACAATGGTGTTGATGAACAGGTTACAAGTGAGAGGGCTTTTGTTGAAGTGAGATGCTATAAATTTTATTTTACGAAAAATCATCTTTCCTTTTGTTGAAATTTGATAGGATTTTCAAAAGATTTCACGTGATATTGTCATTTTTCCTCATAAAGATAAACAAGCAGTAACATTTCCAGTTTTTCAATTTAGCAAACTGTGTTATGGAATCACTAATTTTATTGTATACTACATTGCTCCTATGGAGGCAACTTTGATAGCAGTGTGGGCATTTAGAGTGAGAGTCCTACCCAAGAAGGACGAGTCACCAAAGGTGAAATCTATAAAATCAGATTGAAAAAACAGTTGATCATTGTGTGTACATAGAATTTGTAGGAATTTTGATTCAATTAAACTTGTAAAATTTGCTTGCAAAATGATGTATATACATTGCTTATTTGTGTTCAATGCAATTTTAGTTCCATTAATCTCTCTCCCTCTTATCTCACAATGCACATGCACTCACATTCAGCTTTATATTTATGTGGAGGGTTCGAGATGATTGATTTTTTTTTTTCGATTTCTGAAATTCTGGGTTCATTACTTCATTTTGTCTATCATCAATTATCGTTCTTTTCACAAAATGTCAAAAATTTGACTCGTGATCAAATCATCACTTGGTAAGTATACATTCTAGCATTATCAATGTGGTTTTAACCTCCATCATACATATGAAAGAGAGGCAGAACAATGCTTTATTTAACCTGAAGACAGCAGTTAACAAATACGAAAATCAATTACCAATTACTGCTTTGAATGGAAGAGAATACTTAGCAAATCCAGGAGTATTGGTTCAAAACAAAAAACTACTTGTGCAACTTCAACTCATTGAAGAACTTAACATTCAAGTTCATTAGTTCACAAACGTTACAAACCGCAAAACACGATACATAGTTGTGAGCTATTATCACATAGCAAATATAAAGTTCCCTCCTACTGTTTCTTCGCAGTAGACAAACATAACTCAACGCCAATCAAGCAAGCCCTTTTCCTTTTGCATTCCCAGTCGCACCACATTTTTCCTTACGAATTGTCACGTTCACCGAAATATGGAGCTCCTTCTCATCATTTAGCCTCACTTGAGATTGGAACGTGTGGGTCATATCTTCAACTGCTTCTAGCACCGCAGGCTTAGTTGAGGTAGCACTAATGCTACTACATTTACCTCGTGCTTGACCTTCTTCATACCAATCCCAAAATTCACATTTTTCACTACAAAACTTGAATAATCTACCTTTATTACAAGTCTCCTTCTCCACTTCAAAGCATTTCTGATATCCATGCTTACACAACGGACATCGTACTTTGATTGGGCATTCAACAAAGAGGTGTCCCTTGCCTCTACAACTATGGCATACACCTGAATTCTTCCCTGACATTCTAGTATGAAAATCAACCACATAAAATCAATCGATTTTCATGTTCACAAACTAACTATTGTGAAATGGGGAATCTTAATTACATAAATAATGTATAATTTACAAAGCATATACTACTGTGAAATAGGAATTGGGCCAACCTTCTTCAAAGTCATAAACAAGTAGATGCAGGGCTGCACAACGATATATTTCATTTTCCAGAAGAACCACGAAAATGAGAACATGAACATGAAGTTAAACTACTACCTGACTGGGATTAGATGATGGTGGTTTTATTGCTTGGGTTACTAAGCTCATTTAGCGACAGAGGCAGTTGAGGGAAGTGTCGGCCTGTTCGATGCTTTTCAAGGAATGGGCGAATGTTTGGGGATTGCAAATGCCTGCAGCCTGTGACGAAGGAGGCCGAATTTACCTTTATCTTTATGAACTACGATGGTGGCGAAATCGGCTTAATCGACGATTTTCAACATCGGCTTCGAAGATGCACTCGAAGACGCACTCATTTGAGGAAACACAACCTAATGAGGACGGCTGTTCGGGGGCTGCCGGAGGTGGAGATTAATGTACCGATGTTCGGTTGGGGTTCTAAAGTGAAGAGAAGATTTTGGAGAGGTAGGTTTTGAAATTGAAGATTGTTGGGGTCTTGAGGAGAAGGACGAAAGAAAGAGTGAAAGATTCCTTATTTATTCTTCGTTTTATTTTTTTCTCCTGTAAAACCCCTGTAGCAATCACTCTGTACGCCTAGCGCGATCCAAAGGATAAATGATAATCATTTGTTTAGAAGCGTCCCACCACGCACGTAGTTGGCGCGTCCCACCTGATTCCCGCGTGAGTTTGAAGCCAGTTTTGCTACACAATACAAATTGACAACCATTAATTTTCTGAGCAAATGAAAGTATTATCCTTGCTTCCAACTTACTCAAGAAAGAAGTAAAATTGGGGGAAAAAAGTAAATAGTCCTTCTTGGTCAATAAATGTCATGCGCATAATTTACTGAATTCCAAATTAGCATCAAACGATTTACCTGCTCTGTAAGTTCATTTTTCTTATTTACTTACCCAAAGAAAATTCCTTTCTTTTTTCTTTCTGAATTTTTATACTAGTTGCGGTGGTTCTTGATGTGTATGGACTGCAACCAATATATGTTTGCATGATTATGTAGACTGGGTTTTTACGGTTCTTGAGTATTTTAAATTATTATTATGAAAATTGAAATGAAGAAGAAATTTAACTGTTTCTAATTGATTCTTAATTTTTTTTCGTTATTATGTGCTTTACTTTCAGGGATTTAAAAACTTTTGAATTCTTAAAGATTTTGCTTTAGAGGCTGAAATGGAGATAAAAAGTAACATCAGTAATTCAAGAGAGATGAAGAATTAAAAAGTTGTGTTTTTTATGCATATGAGGTTTTTCTTTAGTGACTTCAGATGTGGATTTGTGATTTGTAGTTCAGAAATTATACGAATATAGAGGATAAGAATTTGAGATAATGGATTTTGTAATTGGGGAATTTGAGAGAATAGATGATTTGAGATGGGCTTTAAGTGAATTGCTATATAATTAATCAACTATATACAAAACCTTATGAAACCAATTTAATAAATTGGATTTAAAATATAAATTAGTGTTGTAACTGATATTGTGTTTTTATTCTAGACGAAAAAGATGCAAAGAGTGCGAGTTTCATCAACCCAAGCTCCAGTGCACAAGCTTGGGGATTCCCAAATGACATTATCCCCAAAATTTAGGGTAGCTGCAACAAATTCCTCTTTGCTAGATCCTTTTTTAGAATTGAAACTATTTCTTAGGGGAGAGCCTTTAATTCCTGGACTTCCTGATGATGTCGCCCTCCAGTGCCTACTCAGGCTACCAGTCAACAACCATTCAGTCTTCAGGCTTGTCTGTAAACGTTGGTATTCCTTGTTTGGTAGCAAAGGACAGTTTTTTACCCGGAGAAAGGAGCTCGGGTTTCATGATCCTTGGCTATTTGTTTTTTCCTTCCAAAAATGCACTGGAAAAATTGAATGGAAAGTTCTTGACCTCACTCAGTTCTCTTGGCACACAATCCCTGCTATGCCTTGTAAAGATAAGGTCTGTCCACATGGATTCGGGTTTGTTTCCATACCCCATGAGGGTGTTCTCTTTGTTTGTGGTGGTGTAGAATCTGATGTGGATGGCTCCCTTGATTTAGTATTGAAATATGAAATGTATACAAACCGTTGGACAGTGATGAAACAGATGAGCGCAGCAAGGTCATTTTTCGCTAGTGGGGTGATCGATGGAATGATATATGTGGCTGGAGGGAACAGCTCGGAACTGTTTGAGCTTAACTCGGCTGAAGTCCTGGATCCTAATAAAGGTACATGGAGCCCTGTTGCAAACATGGGAACTAACATGGCGTCATATGATACTGCAGTTCTTAACGGGAAGCTTCTCATGACAGAAGGGTGGTTTTGGCCCTTCTATGTTGTACCTAGGGGTCAGGTCTATGACCCAGTAACTGATAACTGGGAGAATATGGCTACTGGGCTACGAGAAGGCTGGACAGGTTCGAGCGTCGTGATTTTGGGGCATTTGTTCGTGGTCTCCGAGCACGAGAGGACAAAATTGAAAGTCTATGACATGAAGACTGATTCTTGGGATGCTGTCGACGGACCTCCTCTACCTGAGCAGATATGCAAGCCTTTCTGTGTTAACAGCTGTGATAGCACGATCTATGTTGTCGGTCAGAACCTACACATTGCTGTGGGCCATATAACAAGAATGTTCCCTAGACGCACTTCAGAAAGAAAGTCTCACTTCTCTGTTCAATGGGAAGTAATTGCGGCACCCGATACCCTCTCCGACTTGATGCCGTCACGTGCTCAGGTTCTGTTTGCTTAAAACTCCTCGGTTTATTTGGGATTCTGTAGTGTGCTTGTTTCTGCTGCTACGATAGTATTTATATGAGAATGTCAATATATTAGAGAGATGATAAGACGTTGGAAGATTTTTTGTTGCAAACATTGTACTCGTTACCTGGTTTCTGAAACCTAAGTTGTATTCCTTGACGTTGTACTTGTATTTATTACATGGTTTTTATGTAATATGATTTTTTCAATACCAGATCACCTTGTATACTGAATTCCAGTAACGGGACACCATTTCTGTTCCTTGGTGCTTGGTGTTGAGTTAAATAGTTTGTAGTTAAAATTTTTAAGAAAATTACTTGGGTCATCAAATGTTAATGTTAGTCCATGAATTTTTTCACATCATCAATAATATAAGTAGGTAGTTCGATTTGGTACAAGCATTAGGGAGACTTTTTCCTAAATTGAGCCTAGTTTTTGTATATGTTATCTATCATTAATATGTTTCGAGTATCTTGGAATCAATAGTTATTTATAAAAGAAGACAAGAAATTGACGATGACATTTTCACCATCAGTCACCTGCCATATAAGCTTGAGGAATCAATAATTTTGACTTATATTCTGTTTTTTCCTTTCAAAATTTAATTTAGAAATGATTATAATCCTGTGGTCGTGAAAAATGGGACCCTTGAAAACTCCCGTTATCGTCTTTCACCTCCAGCCACCTGCCATGTAAGCTTTAGGAATCAATAATTTTGACATATATTTTGTTTTCTTCTTTCAAAATTTAATTTAGAAATGATTATAACCATGTGGTCGTGAAATATGAGACCCTTGAAAACTCCCGTTATCGTCTTTCACCTCCAATTTGGTATATTTAAGTTTCAACCATCAATCACATCATGGTGTACATTAAATTTTACGCTCCATTACGTGACAATACACCATTTGGAAAAAAAAACAACAAAAACAACAACAAAAAAAAAATAAATAAATAAATTGAACCCAGTCATTGCTTGACAACAATGGTAATGACAAGCTTGATGTACAAAAAATGATGTACGTGTAGGATTATTCTTCAACAATTAGTTATCTGTGGGGTTCTTTGAATCAGCGTTTGATGCCTTTATTAAAATATCGCTTCTCAACGAATGACCAAAGGGTACACGAATAAACAAAAACAACATAGTAGCTGATGGTTAAAACTGGAACTTATCTCATGCTTTAGAGTACAAACTGTATTTGAAATCATAATAACAAAATATGCTTTACAGCCAGTATACATTACAACAAAAAAACAATGGCCATAAGTTTCTATACACAGTGAAACGTGGGATTGGGTCGATAGGACAAAAACTCCCCAAGTCATTTACCAGGAAACCTGTATTTTCATGCAAGGTAGTTGTATACTTGAGGGTTATTCTTGTCACGCTCCAGGTACTCCCTGTCTATTAGGCTCTCAATCCTTTTCTTCAAGTCGGCTGGTTTTATGGGGAACTTGAGCTGTGATAACGCATGAGACACCCGTTTAAATAAATTGCAATTCTTTTTCTTTTGGTCACGAAACAGTTGAGCATGTTTGGCTAAAGTGAAGAAAAAAAGGGTAAAACCGTAAAAGTTACTTTTACCTACCTTTCTGTTTCCCAACAATGTTCGGATATGTAAGCTTTTATTCTTCCTTTTGAGAAGAAAACATATCTTGTTTCAGAAGTAACTTTAAAAGGACTATCAAAATTACTTCAGTAAAAGTTCACATATTAAAATCACTTGTTTTGAAGCTTCTTTACTAAAAAGTTAAGATTTTAAGATTAGCCAAACATTTCTCTGAGTGCTTTCATTTCAATGTGCAAACAACTATTGATGGCCATGATTTCATATTTATCTTGTGGGCCCAAACACAGTCACATGCCATTACTAGATGAACTAGATTGCATGCAAGTAGACCAGCACCGTGCAAAGATTCAAACATTCTAGCCAGACACCCAAGACACTGAGGGGACAAGAAATTCTACTACCTGCTGAAAGAGTTCAGTTATCAAGAGTGTGTGGCTCAATACTTTCCTTGTCTTCATAATCCGAACAATAGCAGCATCAACCTGCACAAATAGTTGGGGCAGAAAATAAATTCAATTGCAAAAACAGAGGATCTTAGATTTTCAAAAGATGGAGTGGAATTAAACCTGGTATTGCCGGTCTTGAAATACCCTCTCAGTAGTGCTAGCATTCTCCTCAACGGTTTCCTTCATCTGAATGGCGTTTACCTGCTCATATCGAGAAAATGTTAGCTTCAAAGAACCAAGAAAACCTAGCAAAACAGTGATTCTAGTTATTCCTTTCCCGTCTTGATTTCACTGCTTCATTTGAACAACATACCTTTATACGATAGAGAGGAGCAGTGAATTGATCATTGAACACAAAGGAGTCATCATCCTCCACATCTCTCCCCTTGGGAATCTGCAGCAATTAAATCTTTTTAACAGAATATTCTGGAACTGAAGAAGGAAATAATCTGTCAGGTAGTGATAACTTACTTTCTGAAGAACGCGGACTTTTCCGCATGCAAGGGATTGCAGAGTCCTCCTCAGCTCTTTATCCTCAATGCCAGTAGATTCCTTAATATCTTGTAAGCTAAGGTTTTGTGCATTGTTAAATAGCATCAACACAATCGTCTGGGGCAACGAATGGACAGACAGAATCACTAACGTGTAATAACATTTAGACTTGTGACAAGCTTTAATAAGTTTAAATGGAGAAAGCTATAACCAACAATGCATACGAAATTAACAGAAACCAACCTGAAATAGAGAAACAGCCAGCTCCTTTCTACCTTTTGGAAATTCTGCTTTCAGCACACAATGACCCAAAGAATTGTGCCACATTAATCGCCTCCCGCTGTGTTTGCTTAAATAAAACTCCTTGAAAATATCCTGCACAGAGATACGGAAACAACATAAAAGTTAGCGTATGCAACGATATGCACTGTGCCAAACCTAACTGCCACGAACTCCAGTTGGTGCCAAACCTGATATACATTGAGTTCGTGTGGCAGCCGAACATCCATTGGTGGAGATGTTGGCCAGTATCTGCATCCAATTAATCATACACACATTTTATTCCTCAGAGAACTCCTGTGATGAGAGGTAAAATATCTAAGCTTGAAAGCAATACAAAGTAATGAAAGATGGCCACCCACCCAGTCGTTAAGACATGGACACTCATCTCGATTCCTGATGGTAGTTTTGTCCGAGCTTGGGATGATTGCTTGAATGATTCATTAATCTCTTTTGACAATTCAATGTCCTGAAGTAATTTGTTTTCCAACATCATTAAGCGAATGATTACACAATCCTACTAGCATAATGATATACAGAATGAAAAGCCTGCTGCAAGTGAAACATTGTACTCCCGATCGGGTTATACTTAAAAAGGCTCATTTATATCTAATCTATTTATTCTGGTTTGGCCAAGTGGGATAGCCGAGCCATTACCCTTTATGATACCAATCCGAGCCAAAGCTGCCAAACCCATGGGGGGAGAAGTCCTTGCCATATTAGGCACTAATCTATTTTTAATGTCTAACTAGATCGGGAAATTATTCAAATTTTAAAACAGAAGCTGGCTGCTTTTTCTTTCACATAATTAATTGAAGCCATAGGGGGCCCTATCCATTTATTATAGAAAAAGCTGGAGTCAAGTAAAACAATCAAATCTCATGACAAAGAAGCCTCCTACAATTAAAGAGTACGGTAAATCACCGTAATAGTCATTAGATATAATTTCATGACAGTAAGGGGTACACCTAAAGCTTGGTGTAATTTGAAGCAATAGGGACATTTATTGGCAGAGTATACAACTAAATACAAAAACAAATTACATAAGTCACACGCTCAGCCAGAACAAATGATACACACCTTGAACATGCCTTCAAGTTTACTTGTAAATTGGCTGCCACACTCAGTTTTCAACTGCAATACCCATGAGAATTTTGTTAGGTGAGAATAGATGCAAACTTTTTCATAGAGAGAGACTTGGAAAAGGCAAAAGGCCCTTACCTTAGTAATCATGGACTTCTCTGCATCAATAGAGGCGCTTTTCCCCAACAGGAGCCTTTTTGCAAGATCTTTCTTATAGAACGCTTCAAATACATCCTTACCCTACACGAGTTTTGAAAAAGCACAATTCCAAGAATTATTTGTTGGAGAGAGAAATAGCATAATATTAGCACCAGGGCTTGGGCTACTGCTATACCAAATTTCCCCCATATATCAACTTAAGTATAAATTCATCCACGTTACCTGTATAAACCTGAACAAAACCAGGACTTTATCGAGTATACCCTCGAGTTCCTCCTCAGATGTGCCTTTGTTTCCCGCACGAAGCTTCTCATCCACAAACTTTGCAATAAGCTCAGCAGGTCGGTTCTAATACAGAACACAATAATGTGCTGTAAGTTATAGTCATCAAGATCAAATGGACAGCATAAGAATGACACAAAATTTATTTTGCTGACATGGAATAACAGAATAATTCAGGTTTGCATTGGCATTAGAATCACGAGGTAACATTTTATTGCCCACGATATCCAATCAATAATTCCTAATCATTATGCCCCTTTAAAGCATCTTCTTCCAACCATCCCCAGAAAAGGAAAAGAGAAGGGAGACTGTGTTTAAAAGAAATTTTCAGATTCTAGTCTTGATTATTGAGCATGTCCTGATAAGCTTACAAGTAGGTCAGACCTATTATTTAGTAAATTTTGTTTCCAAGCATTTTTTGTAATGCATATATTTAAAATTTTCTTATTCTAAGTAAAAATAGTTACTTATATTGACAGTTGGTCAAAAGTAACTTAATTTAACTTTGGTCAAAACATACAGGCTCAGAAAGTTGACCAAATTTAATTAAACTTGTAAGTTTTTCAAGCTTAGCCAAACATGCTCATAGTGCACTTTTAATTGCTTTCAGGAAAATGAAGAAAATTCACGTGATCAAGTATAAGAACGAATAGGATGATCAAGTAGGGAGCAATATATTCATTCCCTGACACATGAATGAGTAGATGATCCTGATACTGAAAAGTGTGGCCCTTTCACACTAAACTCTGAACAAACAGATATCAGAAGCAGCCAAGTGGATGTAACTATCCAAGACCTGCTTCCTTTCAATCTCTCTACCTCACTCTCATCGGGAGAAAGCAAGTAATCAAATATAGGATTGGTAACTGTTCTGTTTGTGAGTATAAATAACGTAATTTGAGAGTGGACAGCTAAGGATGCAGGAAATCTAATTATGCCTTCTTC